AAGATCCTTTTGGAAGGCAGTGATGGTGACAGTGCAAATGACTCCAAACCAGACTTTGCAACTGGTAAGTTACATCCTACCTCCAAATTCCATGGCAATTAGGTAAAATGCTCTAGAGACCATTAATGTATGTAAAGTGCTGTGCTAAATACAAACTTGAGGAACACACAGGACAGCTGAATTCAGCTTTGGCATTTGGGGAAGAGCTTCACCTGGAGATGACCTGTAAGCCATGCCTTAAAAACTGAGTAGCATGTAGGCAGACCAAAGAGGGAAAAATAGCGTTTCTGACTGATAGGCATAAATAATGGGATAGACAAGTGCACGTACAAGAGTTCAGTGAGGCCTGCAGGGGAGAATGTCATAGAAGAGGCTCGAGAGGCAGGCAGGCACTAAATTACAGAACATCTCAGACCCATTCCAAGAAGTGTAGACTTCTTTCTGTAAGTAATAGAAATTCATGAAATATTTTGGATAGAAGTGATATGAAATCTATATTTTATTATGACAGTTGTTTTCAGACTCATTCAGAAAGTAGGGTAAATGGGAGGGAAGGCATAGTGACCTTGATAGTGCATCATGACATATTAACTAAAGATTAAAATGAATAATTCCATCAATTTATTCCAAATCAGATGCTGTGGTTTGATAGATTTTAACGTGCTGTTGACAAACAATTACAGATTGGCTAATTAACAGTTATTCCACAAATATTTGAGTACCTATTATGTGCACTATATTGTAGACATCAGAGATACAGCAGTGAAAAAAAACATCCCTTTAGGAGCTTAAATTTGAGGGGAACGGACAGTAATCAAATATGGTAAGTTCTTACTTAAAGCGAAATGATGTATAATGAAATCCATTTTACCATAGACTAACTGATATAAACAAGAGTTAAGTTTCTGTAGCATCTCAATGTTGTAACAAAACAATGTTATTTGAGACTTGCTATACATAATGTGTCCAGTGCCATCATAGAAAAGCCATGAAGAAGAGAAAGACAGGTTAGAGCCCAGAAATCTGCCTTTTTAATCAATTCCTGCCTTGTATATGACAGGTAATCCCAGAGCAGGTGGTCTATGGATCTTACTTTGAGAACCGCTAATATAAGTGGAGTGCCAAAAAGTAGGAGCCAGTGAAAGAAATACCAGAGCATAGCAGAACGTGGACTAAATGCTTCCCAACTTAAGGTTACTTAATATAAAAACCCCAATATAATCAAAATACTTCCTTGGCAATTTCAATGTCTTTTCCAGGGATAATAATTGTAACACCCCCAGAATATTATCATCATTATTTGATGTATGCCTGTCAGAAAAAGCAGTAAACAATTCTGAAGTTATAACCTGCAAGACTGCTTAGCACAGTAACAAAATTAATAAAGGACCAAAACATTGGCTATTTTTGTGGAAGTGAAATCACTTGCTTTGCTTGTTGAGTTTTTGGAATTTGTGAGTTGTTTCTAGTAGGTGATAGATACTTATGGGCCCACCACGCTTCCACTGCACCACTCTGCTCTCTAGGTGATAGGTATTTAAAAAGAATACTGTTGTGTTATTTGCATTCCAACTTCAGATAATCTCTCTTGAACCATTTTATAATAGTAAGTTTTTTGGAAATCCTGATTTGAATAGTGACTTTAAAATTGCCCCTGGCCCTGGCCAGTGTTGCTTAGTGGTTAGAGTGTTGGCCTGCTCACTGAATGGTTTGATTCCTGGTCAAGGGCACATACCAGGGTTGCAAGTTCCAGTCCTGACCCGGTTGGAGCGTGTGCAGGAGCCAACCAATCTATGTATCTCTCTCACATTGATGTTTCTTTTTCTCTTTCTCTCCTCCCCCTTCCACTCTCTCTAAAAATCAATGGAAAAGTATCCTTGGGTTAGTATTAACAAAATAAAACAAAAAATTTAAAAAATAAAACTGCTTCTCTACTCTTAAAAGTAAGGGCTTGAATAGACATTTCTCTAAAGCAGTAGTTCTCAAACTTGTCTGCACAGTAGAATCACCTGGGAATCTTTTTAAAATCCTGATTTCTGGGCCTCATCCTCCAGAAATTCTGTTTCTTTGTTACTAATGTTGTGGCCCCACCCTGTAACAAAGAAACAGAATTTCCAGAGGATGAGGCCCAGAAATCAGGATTTAAAAAAGATTCCCAGGTGATTCTAATGTGCAGACAAGGTTGAGAACCACTGCAAAGATTATACACAAATGGCCAAAAAGTATATGAAAAGAGGCTTAATGTTACTAATCAGTAGCAAAATTTCAGTATTATGTGCACTGTATTATAGATATAAACAAATCAAAACCACAATGATATTTCACATCACAACTTATTAGGACAGTAATGGCGAACCTTTTGAGCTCAGCGTGTTAGCATTTTGAAAAACCCTAACTTAACTCTGGTGCCGTGTCACATATAGAAATTTTTTGGTATTTGCAACCATAGTAAAACAAAGATTTATATTTTTGATATTTATTTTATATATTTAAATGCCATTTAACAAAGAAAAATCAACCAAAAAAATGCGTTCACGTGTCACCTCTGACACGTGTGTTATAGGTTCGCCATCACTGTATTAGGATATTAAAAAACAGGAAAGAGCAAGTGTTGGTGAGGGTGTGGAGAAATTAGAATCCTTGTGCACTGTTGGTGGAAATGTAAAATGAAGCAACCACTATGGAAAACAATATAGCAGTTACTCAAAAAATAATAAATAGAACTGCCAGCCCTAGCTGGTGTTTTTCAGTGGTTAGAGCAAACGGCCTGTGCCAATGGGTCTTGGATGTGATTCCTGGTCAAGGGCACGTACCTGAGTTGCAGGTTCAATCACCAGCCCCAATTGAGGCACATGAAAGAGGCAACCAATCCAAGTGTCTCTCACATTGATATTTCTCTCTTCCTCTCTCCTACCCCTCTCTCTCTCCCTCTCCCCCCAACCCCCCTGTTTCCTTCCTCCCTTCCATTCTCTCTAAAAAAAATCGGGTGAGGATTTAAAAAGCAACACTACCATATGATCTCGCATTTCCACATCTGGGTATATATCTACAAGAATTGAAAGCAGGGTCTCAGATATTTGCACACCCATAGCAGCATTATTACCAAAAGCCCAGAAATGGAAGCAATCCAAATATCCTTGATGATGAATGCATAAACAAAATGTGGTATATACATACAATGGAATTTTATTCAACCTTAAAAAGGAAAGAAATCCTGTCACATGCTATATCTTGGATAAACCTTGAGGACATTATGTTAAGTAAAATAAGCCAATCACTGTGATTCCACTTATATGAGATATCTAAAATGTCAAATTCATAGAAACAGAGGTAGAATGGTGATTAACAGAGACTGGGGAGAGAAGGAATGGAGAGTTGTTAAATGGGTACTGGATCTCTGTTTTGCAAGATTAAAAGTTCTGGAGGATTGTTGCACAAAAATGTGAATATATGTACTTAACACTACTGATCTGTACATTAAAAAAGCTTAGGTTCGTAAATTTTACCACAATTAAAAACATTTTAAAGGAAATAATGAGTTAAAAAAGTAAATAGCTTGGTTCTAGGTTTTTTTCTTACTCAATTTTGCATAAGCAAATATTTTTTAGATGAAATATAAGTCATAGTTTTGAGAGAATATATTTTTATTTTGAGCTCCGTACAGTTGAACAGCAATTTGGGATATAGAAAACATGAAAAACAGGAAAGAAAACATTGGTTGAAATATCCAAAGTTATGCTGGATAAGAGAATGGCTAAAAATATTTCTAACTGAAAATTATTTTTCCTTAGACAGATTCAAGACCTGTAGTTGTTTGGAGAAAACATTGTTGTCAAATTGTGATTTTACTGGAATTCTAATAATGAGGGTTGTTATAACTGCAATAGGAGAATAATTACAATGGGAAGCCATTGTGCTAAAAATTATTTGTCAATTAATGGAATGTTTGAGTTATTGGATGTTAAACTGGTTAAGACACTGGGAGAAAATGATGCTAGTAGTTTATGAAGTAATAGACACTTAAAAATTCTTGGTTTCTGTTTCCTGGCTGGTGTGGCTCACTCGGTTGGTTGGGCATCATTCCATACACTGAATGGTTGCCAGTTCGATTCCCAGTCAGGGCAAATGGCCAGGTTTTGGGATCAAACCCCAGTAGAGGGTGTGGAGGAGGCAGCTGATTGATGTTGCCTCATATCGATGTTTTTCTCCCTTTTCCTTCCTCTCTCTCTAAACATCAATTTAAAAATCTTTTAAAAAATTCTTAAGTTGCCGAAACCGGTTTGGCTCAGTGGATAGAGCGTCGGCCTGTGGACTGAAAGGTCCCAGGTTCGATTCCGGTCAAGGGCATGTGCCTGGGTTGCGGGCACATCCCCGGTGGGGGATGTGCAGGAGGCAGCTGATCGATGTTTCTCTCTCATCGATGTTTCTAACTCTCTCTCTCTCCCTTCCTCTCTGTAAAAAATCAATAAATATATTTAAAAAAAAATTCTTAAGTTTTGTTTTGCAAGATGCAAAAGTTCTTGATCTTCTTGTGTTACTTTCAGACTAAAATGACTGCTTCTTTAGATCTTTGAGAGCTAATTTGTTTTGTTTTGTTCTCTCTCTTTCATTTTTATGGCTTCCACCAAACTACAAGTGTGGCTATTCTCCCTATAAAAAGACATGTGGTCCAGCCCTGAGAAACATTACAGGGAACTAGCTCATTAGCTGAAAAGTGATAATTGCCCTCTAACCTGTGCTGTGGATATACAAACTAAGCTTCAAGCAAAATTTTTTCATTGCCTCTCTAATTTTTTGACGCCTCTTCTGTCCTCCAACCCAAGAATGCAAAAGCCTTACGCTGTCTTGTAAACCTTCTAATCTACTCCAGCCAAGCCTGCTTTACCGTAAATTGAAATATAAATATATTCCTTCTTGCTTATTGTACTTTAAGTTGCAATACAGTCAGTTTATTTTCATTCACCCTAAGCCCAGAATGACTAACAACTCTCCAAACCCCTCAGAATTGATTTTTATTATACTTGAACGCGCAACTGTTATCAGTTCAGATAACCTTGTAGGGGC